GGAGTGGACGGGTGCGGAGGTGGGAGGGACGGCGAGAACAGGGGAGGAGACGGGTGCGGAGGTGGGAGGGGTAGCGGTCACATGAGAGGAGACGGGTGCGGAGGTGGGAGGAACAGCGATCACAGGGGAGGAGACGGGTGCGGAGGTGGGAGGGGAGGCGGTCACATGGGAGGAGACGGGTGCGGAGGTGGGAGGGGAGGCGGTCACATGGGAGGAGATGGGTGCGGAGGCGGGAGGAGAGGTGATGTGTTTGGTGGACTTGGTGGGTGGTTGGGCGGCGGGGGGTGGGCCGGTGGCGGTAGATCTGGCGGGGGCAGCGGCGGGGTAGAGGTGGGCGGAGGACTTAGTGGGGGAAGAGGCGGGGGAGAGGGTACTGCGTTTGGTGGGAGGAGCGGCGGGGACGGGGACGGGGACAGCGAGTCTGGTTGGGGCGGGAACAGTGTGTTTGGTGGGAGCGGCAGCAGCAGAGGAAACGGGAGGGACGGCGACGGCGGCGGGGGATGCAGCCGGCGACGGTGCGACGGCGGAGGAGAGATGAAGGCAGACGAGGGCGACGGCGAGGGCGGCGTGCCTGCCCATGCTCGCTCGACCACTCTAGCCGCAGAGAGAGCGAGAGTAAGAGTGGAGCAGGGTGAGAGGGAGGGGGAGTGCGTTAATAGGTAACATAAGGTGACTCCTCGTCGCGTCCCGACTCAACCAACGATTCGGCGCTCGGTGGGCAGTACGCCAAACGCCGTGAGATCATTCGGGAAAGGAGTCACGAAGGGACGTCGACCATAACGTTCACATTCATAGACACGGTGGCCCCGTTTTCGTGGACGCCTTCTATACGACGCCAGGTTGGTCCGTATCACCGCTTTAAATGGAGGAATGCCACCCCAAGTTACGAGCAAACACACCGTACCCACGAGGACCATAAGACACGTTGCTCACGAGCAGTGTGGGGTCCAGTTCCTCGTTGCAGATTAGGGTGGGGGCCTTCTTGGTAGGAGATGTGCAGCTATTGGAATGAGCTTTTGTGCGTGTGTGAGAGAGAGAGAGAGAGAGAGACAGAGGTCGGGTGGGTTAGAGTTGGTGAGTGGGCGCGGGCGGTCGATGTCAGTGAGCCTTCGGGAGACGAGCATCTCAAAGCCAAGGTGTCGTGCGTGTTCTATCACATCAGGCAGCCAACAGGGACCCGCCACGGATCCCTCCCCAAAACCATCTCATCCTACGTGCCACTCTCACCAACCCGGACACTCGGAGCTCATCAAGCACCGCAGCCTGAGGGGTGTCCTGCCGGTGACTCACAGGGCTTCTATTACTTGGCGTTGGCCATCGAGCAGTCCGAGAGGCATGCAGGATGACGAGAGGTACGTTCCGACGCAGAGCGTGTCTGTGGTCAGTCAAAGCTCTACCAGTGTGCGTACGGCCATTCAATCGAACATGTCAAATTCGTATAAAACATTCAGTAAATCTATCTGCAATGTCTCAGTCAAAGAACTTCCCTTCAATCACTCATCACAAGGATCAGTCAAAGATCATTAGTCATGCCTGATTAATGATCTTTATGTTTGTGATGGTATACATAAAAGCCATGGATACACCTCTTCACAAGGAAGACGAAGATGAAAGACTCACTAATGCAGTTATCAAATGATCAAGAATACATACATACTTGCATACATACACACATATAGCATAAACATTCAGTAAATCTATCTGCAATGTCTCAGTCAAAGAACTTCCCTTCAATCACTCATCAATGGTTTATCTCGCAACAGACTAGTAGTAGAAGCAGTACAATTGTAAGTAATTGAGATAAATCAACAGACTTTGATCCATGGAATCAGACATGCAAAACATATAGCATCAGATAAAACAAAGAGTTTGGTCTACAGCCACTTCTTTAGCAAGATTAAGACTCAATATGGATGGAGTAGACTAGGAAAAGTTACATCCAAGACCACTACCAATCCACAGTTACATCAATTAGCTCAACACATCCTGAACAACTAACTTGCAAACGATTAAACAAGCAAAACACATAGGAGAACTGAATTGGAGCCATCTCACCGGCGCACAATTCCCCAGCGAAGTTCTTCATGCACCAGAAAAAAAAAAATCGGCTTTTGATCGGGGAAGAAGTATCAACACTGACATGATCCTCTCCTTTCGGGAACAGAAGCAGCAACCTGTTAAAAAGATGAGAAGGAACAAACACTGTTCCCATTCCACAGCTGACAAACCGAAAAACACCAAACCAGTGAACCCTGCCTTCGCTTCGGAAGGATTCATCAAGGCCTGCAGGTCCAAGAGCACTGAACCACAATGCTCCAATATCAAAAAGCATCGAACCATTCTGGCACTATCTATAGGGGAAATAATCCTCCAGACCCCACAGAATTAGTCCCTAGAGATCTACATTTCATGGTCAGTCGGTCAGCGTAAACAAGTACGGTGCAGGTATAGACAATTCAATTCATATCAAATCTTATATGGTGTTAGCATTAGACTTCCACCCTCCACACGATGTTACCATCGGCGCCATCATGTGACTTCTCCAGTGCCGCGACCTTGGCCCGATGATTCCCAGCCACGGTGTTCTCCCCTCTTTCTCCCTGAGGTAGCTCACAGGCTTCGCTGATGGACCCACGTTTTATGTCAGCCGGAGGGATAAAACAATCCATAGAGAGACCAGGAACATTAAAGGCAACCTCCTCGATGGTCCAAGCCTCCTCCATCCTGGTTTTCGTGTGGCTCATGGCCACTTCACCGAACCGAAAAAGAGTGACAACCGAGTGACCAGAGTGCGCAATCATCATGCCATCGACCGGGCGATAATCGTCGATGAAGGAGTTGATGGAGGTTTCCCAGTAAGCAGCATCACCGCCGGCACTTGCTTGGATTCGAGTCAGATGTGAATCCTCAATATGGATGAGTAGTCCCGTTCTCTGGCTAAAGTAACCAAATAAGACATGCCTAATGACCTCGGCAGGTCCATCGCTCCTTGCCCTGAGCGTCTGTGGATCCGCACATAGCTTGAGGATGAAGCAATCCTCCCCATTGACCTTCTTCTCCCCGATGCATCGTGCATTGGCGAACATGCTAGCTGTGGTCAGCGGATCAAGACCCTATTTCGTATAGCAACACAGAACCATCTCGATCATCTATCATAGTCAAAGCAATCCATCAAACACAAGGTGAAATAGGGTCATCTTCTATACCTGAAGAGCCCGACGAAGGGGCCGGACAGGGCCCTTGGCGGCATGGGCACCGAGCCATGGTGTGTGGCGCCAAACTAGCTTCCCATTACAACCGGCACGGACCTTGCTGCCACCGGCTGCGAGCTCCACATACCACATGTCAGGTGCCATCTGCCAGAGGACGAAGCTACCGGACTCTGCATCCCTGGATGCATTCCTCTTCCTGACGATCTTGGTGGCCATCTCGAGCTCGGTGGCCACCATCCTTACCTTCCCCATTGCGTAAGCATTCCTGACGGAGCTCAGCAACTTCAGACCTCCTGATGCCGCTGTATACTGCTGAAGGATGTACTGCGCCGACGACGTCTCCTGCAACAACAAATCGAGAGGAGTTACTCACAAACCAAAGCAAGGATCGATTGCAAACATGTAACCAATTGGAAACGAGATGCATTTATCACAGTGCATCATGAATTAATTGTCTATTGAATCTTTAAATAGGGAAAATTCGCATGAATGAAAGATATTGCCACGAAATCCTATGAAGAAACAAGTTGATCAAAATGCACATCCGTTACATCAAACAGAGGCACAGTATTCTCGATAACCTAAGTAAAGTCTTGAAGATGAAGCCAATATCTTTGCCACACCATATAATTCGATGTTAAGGACAAACATAAATGATGGCAAGATATGATAATCCAGGGAAGGAAGAAGGATAGGAGCGCTCACGATGGGAGTATCCTTGATACTAAGGTGAGGAAGCGGGTCGGTGGAGCAGACGTGGATGGGGGCGAGGGGCGCCGCCATGACCCCAAGAAGAAGCCGGAGGTCCGAAGGCCGGCACGAGGCGGTGGCGGAGGTGGATACGGATGGCGCCCGGGAGAGCTGTCCCTTCACCCACTGCCCCCACCCCCGCTCCTTGCGCGCCTCATCCCCCTCCCCCTCCCCCGAATCAGGGCCCTCCATCAGCGGCGCCAGGCTCCCGGATCTCGGCACCGCCGGTCCCCCCACCATCCCGCGCCGCCTCCACCGCCGCCGCGGCAGCAGCAGAAGCTCCACCACCGGCGACGGTCCCCGTCGGGGGCTCTCCGACCTCGACCTCGACCTCCCCCGCGCCCGCGCCGGCGTCAGCCCCCTCGCCACCTCCTCCCTCAGCGCCGAAAAGAACCCTTGCTTCTTCTCCATCCGGCCTTCCCCCTCGTCCAAAACCCTAAAAGAGGGAGAGAGATAGTAGAAGAAGACCACGAGGCGAACGGACTCTTTTAAGGGAGCGAAGACTCGGGCCAAACTCCACCAAGGAGCTACGAGTATTTTGCGGCGTAGAGGTCGCACGAAGCCGCCAAGGAAGACAGGGAGGGACCAAGACGTGATTATTAATCCGACCAAGGAGTGGACTTGAAGACGGAGGAGAAGAAGAAGAATGGGAAAGAGACGGAGCAGAGCGCGTGACTGCGGCTGTCCGAGGACGGAGGAAAAGGAAAGCGGAGGGAGGGATGGGAATGATAAGAAAAAAGAAGGGAAGGGGTTAACTGTAAGAAAGGAAGACAGCACAGAAGGACCGAAATAGAAAAAAGAAGAATAGAGGAACCAAAACAGAATGTGGCCACCACTAGATGAGTAGCCCCTATAGATATGATGGGTCCCGTCGATACGCTCACCTCAGGTGGGGTTTACCTTGCCAACTCTCCACTCCGAATAATAATAGTCCCCAACATATTTTCCTATTTTATGGGGCTAAAAAAAAATAAAAATAAAGAGAGAATTAATATGCTTTTAGCAGCATCAAATTACTTAGGTGCAGATAATAAATACTAAGATATGGTCTACATTGTTTTTGTGTGTCATCGAAATGAGGAGATTTCATGAACTCAGCGAGTGAATATTCAGAAGACATTCCTCCGTGGCATCAGTGCATTGAGTCTCAGAACTATGTCGTCGGTCCAACAAAAAAAAGTCTCGCTCACTGTTACGATGCTGTTTAAGCATCAGCGCGTGATGGAGACGATGGTTTGAGGCGAGGCATCGGCACGAGCTGAGTGCTTCCACCGGTGAAACTTGCTGTTGTTCTTGGCGTCTGATGACCGAGAAAACAGTGGGGGGCAATGGAGTAATGAATCACGATAGAGTTGCTTCGTGCAGAAAAGTGCTACGTCGTCTCCACTCGGCACGGCCGGTGAAGGAAGAAGATGTTAGAGACGGCAGCGAAGTGTTTTGCAGCTTCATGCGCAGCTTTACGTAGTTTAGATGCATTCTCTGCATGGAATGCGGAGATAGCTGTGTCTCGTTCTATCGTTCTCCCATCGACGTCACACGCAGCGATGGGTGCTCGACTGTCGTCGAAAGACGAAGATGAAGTCGTTGTTTGGACAGGCATGGCCAGCAATTGGTCCAAACTTTCGAGTCATTGATTGACCTTATTATGCCTGGTTTCAAGTGAGAGTAGTGCCGGGTGACATCAAGGACAAAGGAAGCAATGGAGCTTTCAGATGCTGCTGTCACGAAGGCCAGCAGGCAGGTGAGATGGTGGCTCTCGGGGGGCATGTAGCTCTATCTACATCGGGTGAAAACTCAGTGGAGCCATCCAGAATGACATCCATCGCTTGCTCCATCTACAAACCATTTGGTGGTCCATTCGTACCAACAAGGGTGCAGTCAGCAAAAGGTCACCTCTTCCCTCGGCCATCACAAACCAATTCTATGTTTGCGGTGGCAGTGCAGGTTAATCAAATGACTCTTTGTTCCTAACTTCAATTCCTGGGAGAAATAGGGAGCTTGTGTTCATGCATTTACTCCTGTAGTGGTCCTTCAGAATGCATCAAAAAGCACAACTCTACAACAGCATAAAACCCGAGGAAACAACAAGCCATAATGGACAAGTTGCATAAGGGTTTTTGTGCTGCTTTCCAACTGGCTCCCTCCCTCACTTAAAAGCATGTACTTTACTTATCTTTCTCTCTCTCTCTCAGTGTCATCCTTCCAAGAACGAGTAATCCATGGATGGGGCCACAGCTAACCAAATTAGATCCAGCTTCAGCGGACGAGTAATCCAACCTCTCGATGATGATGATGATGATGATGATGATCGTCTCAGAGTCTCTGGTTCATGAAGTTAAGATAGGAAGATCGACGTACATCCATCAGAGGAGGGGAGAAGATAAGGCGTGCATGGCGTCGCTCACCGTGCTTGGACCAGCACGGCCTTCCTCCCTTTGCAGCACATGCACAGTTCACCCTGGTTGGTGGGGGAAACGGATCTGATTCCGACACCGTTCCAGCGTCACATGAGATCACTGTGCTCGCCCTTCCCCTCTCCTTTACCCTTGTACTGTTTTGCCGTCGGTTCCATCGACAGGAGGGTCTGCAGGGAAAGCAAAAGAACTCAAAGAGCATGGAGCGCAGGAGCTTGCATGACTGCGAGCACCGTAAGCTGCACGTCGCAGTCGTGTTACACCACTGTGTGCTTTTATGATGCTTGGAGTTGAAGCGTCACAAAGTTCTTCTACTTGGCTCTTCTGGAGTGTGGTGCAAGTAAGATCGTAGAAGGGATGTACTCCTGGTCGGGAAAAGGAAGAAGACGATGGAGTAATTTTGCCCATTCACGGTGGGTGAGTGAATCTCCAGCTCGAAGAGGTACCATTAATTGCCTGCGACCATATGCTTTTGTCGCCGAGCAACGAGCAGAAAGCCATCCGCCGAACAGGAGAGAGAGAGAGAGAGAGAGTCTTCGATTCATCTCTCTCTCTCTCTCTCTCTCTGTATACAGATATCTAACGTGCCACGAATTCTTCCTTATCGTCGTATTATTTTCTTGAGTCGTTGCGGTTCATCGAGAGGAAATGATGAGTTCATAGACTTTTTATTCTTGTGAATCGATGGCGAATCTGCGTACAGATCCTTTTGCAGAAGTTTGCATCGGTAGAGGAGACTTCGCCATGGGTGTGCATGACGAGCATCTCCCCATCTTTTTGACAGTAAAGGGCATCGTCCTTACTGTCATCTCGAAACATTCCGCACACACCAAACCAGACAAAGATTCCTCCTCTCCTCGCTTGGGCACAGCTCTGACCGATGGACAGAGCTCGGCAACGGAGGACGCGTCAGTAATGGCGTCTTTCGTCGCGGTCAAACTTGTGTTCTCTCCAGCTGTCTGTCAGTGGTTGGTGGCGTCAGAGACGAACGTTTCCTCGCAGCGAGTCCCGACGCAAACTGGAGTGCCCTACCACCGTATGTGAATGTGTATGTGTATGTCCATGTGCATGTGCATGTGCATGTGATTGTGACGTAGGGGTTGGAATTGGTGCAAGAAAGTGATCCGGATCACTACTCACTGCGTTCGATCGAATTGATTCCCATAGGGTTTGAACCTGACGCAGCCGTCTGATGGTCGAAGAACCAAGTCATTTGGAGTGCAAACGAGGGCAGCCCAAGCCCAAGAAATCTTGATTGCAGATGTGTAAGGCACGCTGATGACCACCATTTATTTATTGGGCAGCCCCCTCCATTCTCCTTACGAGATCTTCTCCTTAAGGAAGGCGACCGCGGAACCCTAACCCTAATAACTAGGTCAAAAGGTTACTTCCCGAGACCTTCATTATATACCAACGGTGGTATGTGTTTCTGCCGTTCAATATGGCTTTAATCGACATTCTAAAGTTGCCACCTTGGACGCAATATAACGCGAAAATACACATGTAGATGGTTTTGAGGCATCGATACATGAACATTTATATGCTTCCCATTTCATTACATTATTGTATAGAATTTTAGCTTTCTAAGAGAAACGTTAAGCTTCCATTTATCCAAAATGAAAATGCCGAACATCCGTGAAACAAAGAAAGCGGCGACTCCATCTGAAAAAAACAATTGAGTCGAAAGCTTCGATTCATCAAGAAATTGAAAGCACGTATTGCACATAACGTAATCCACAACTTGTTGATGGCATCATAACCATCATGACAACCACTGGTTTCGCACATCGAAGCAACTGAAACAATATAATATGCGGCAAGAAGATTCATTCATTAATAGGATTAAACATAAAACAACTGCAGCAGGTAAGCAGAACCATAACCCCACTGCATTATACAAGGAACATTAATTATTGTCCACATGATCGATCGATCTACCGTGGACTAATGTCAACCCTCATTTTATTGCTTGCTTAGGTGATCGTGCTCGCTTTGGACACCGCGGGCTACAGAATCACCTTTGACTACTACGTACGTATCCTCTCCGTGGGAACTGATACGCATGCCACCCTCTTTAAAAGACGATTGGGATGACGGTTGACCTCTACGTCGAGATAGTTATTGCAGCTTCACAACTAAAAAGAGCGGCAGAATGCAAGTCTTTCATGGCAAGACGACAGGCTTTATGTCCCAGATGTCCTTTGCATACTCATGAATTGTCCGATCGCTGCTAAATTTGTAGGAGCCAGCTGTGTTTAAGATTGACATTTTTGTCCATCTCTGTGAAAAACCAGTTCACAACTCTTCAGTAATAACATATATAAGGGTTGATAAGCTACGTTCTTACTTCATAACAACACAAATTTCTGTAAATGTTAAAGGTAGATTTTTGCACAAAAAACACAAAAAAAGGGGTTTCAGGTATGACAAACACTAAAATGCAATGCATATAAAAAAATAGTATAATCCCCCAAAAGAGAGAGAGAGAGAGATAGGCATAATCCCCCAAGAGAAAAGCCAGGACAAAGTGGGGCTTCAATAGTGTTGTTTCGGACATTATTTTTCTCACAAGATAGGGTAAACTATCAAGGATGTGTGTCTTGAATTTTTGTATAGATACTAGCTTTGGATGAACATTTGTGAGAACATCAAGGTGGATGCTGGGTAAGGTGAAAAGTAGGAACAAGGAATGCCGATACAAGAGGCTCCATGGGACAACATTCTGCAGTAATAAAAGGCTCGAGTTTCTACAGGGGAGGAGCTTGGGAATTAAAAATTATGAATGCTTGAACTGATAAGTTTTGACAGAATTACCATTGTGTTGGTGATCATGTACTATAGGTATTTATGCTGCTGGATATAAGTAATTCGTTCGGTCTTCATATACCATGTATTGTCACATTAGTACAGCAATTGGTGTGAACAATAGGATGTTGCGACTGACATGCATATATATTTATACGAAATGTTGAAAAGTCTTTAAAACTAGTGATGCTTACCTTTTGGTCTTGATATGCCTCATCAACCTTCTCTTGGCACTCAAGGTAGCTGGGGAAATCCTTGCCAACAAGAAAATAATCTGCACGACCAAATCCTTCGTTCCCTTCCAAGGATCCCATCAACTCGTCATAATCACCAGGTCCAAAGACGCCACTACAGACAAATTTCTTGACCTCTTCAAATCGTGGGTCTGGCACAAACTGTCCACAAACGGAAACAAGCAAGCATGTTCAACAAGTTGAATAGTATTTGTCCAGCTCTAGATGAAATATATTT